TTTCAGTAAATGGTGTGATAAGAGAGTGGAGGGAGAAATACAGAGGGAAGTATGCATCCTTAGGAAAAGCAGAGCATTTGGTAATTGCCCAGTTCTTCAAAGGTCTAAGCCCAGAGTGACGATGAATATACTACCAGAGATTCAGTGGGAGGGAGGATGTCGCTGGTAGTGTTAATGTGGGGCGATGGATGAAACTTTTCACCCAGAGCATGGCTGAGGCCATAAGACTATTTGAAATGAAATTAGATATTAACCACCACAACAACATTAGATATTAAGCACGTGAAGAGGACCAATTTGCGCACAACAGTGTCCCACAAACAACCACGTAGTGAGTTAACAATTTTATCCGGGGGATTGTTGGCTCGGACATCAGGCGGAAGCTACCTTTTCTTTTCAACTAGGGTCATGGGATCTTCAACATCCCCCTGAAGAGAAAGACTCAACCTCGGTTTAATGTCTCATCCGAAGGACGGTAACAGTGCAGGGTGTCCCCAGCAGTGAACTGGAGTGACAGCCTAGACTTATGAGCTCAAAGTCCCCAAACCATAGGAGTATCTATCTCCACTCAAATGGCCACCTGCTGATGGAAAACATTTCCAATCCTTTTATCAATTGCCGGGCTTCTGTGGGTAGTGAGTAATCAAATTAAAATGACGGGAGCGCGATGTGGAACATTAAAGGGATTCCACCATTGAACAATAGTCGGTCTGTCTTTGCCTCAGTTGATGTAATTAGTGCTGATGGAGTTACAAGCGCAGCAAAAAGACAACTGACAGTTAGCAGCTGGCTGCAAAGAATGGAAAGGGAGAGGTTTACATGGTTGAAGTGAAGGCATTTGAAGGCAGTGGACTTGGTGGCACATCTAATCTGCAAGGTTGTTGTGCAGGTTTGAAAATCAAGTTAAATATGCCCAGTATCGCTAGAACCAATTCTCATCACTCAGCTACATACCTAAGGCCTGGTTGGGGGGGGGGAGATCAGTATTCAGTGCTCCAGGGTAGTGTGGCGTCATTATGATTTAACATGATTCATGTTCCACATTTGGGATGGTGGGGGTGGGTGGTGGAGTGGGAGTGATTTGTAAGCTTGACATTTAGACTCCCGTGATGGTGAACACCTGTTTTGGAGTTACCTAACGCTGTTTTACGGTGTATAAAGTGTTGTGGTTTTACGTAGTGGAAGGAAATGATGGGACCTCCACATTCACAAACCTCTTCGTTCTTTTGTTGTGTTATCTTTTAAACTGACATACACGTTTCTCAAATAAGTCTTCGGAGATATGGAAACACCGGCCAATATGCTATTGATTTCTAAGAGATTATTTCATTTGAGCTTCCAGCTAGATAGCTAATAGTTTGGCGTTAATCGCTTGTTAATAATCGTAGCGCCTTCATTTCTAGGTGGCCTGAGCAGGGGCATATTATCTATCGCGACTATACAAGGAAAAAATCCGACGCATTGTTTTCCCGGAGAGAATCTCAGCTATTTTAAACGACTTGTTTCTAATCGATGTGCAGAACAGGATTATTTGAGCAAGACCAATTCACATGCAGAAATAACTGAATGAACAGCAGGGTGCTAGATAGAGGCTTTAGATGAATTAGTTATTAAAAGCTTAAAAGTTTCTTTCAATAAAATGTGGATGTACGGTTGCACTTTCCAGGGTGTGTTTTTTTTTGAATTTTTGCATTAAGAATTTCTTTAAGCCTTCGTGGACCTAAACCTGTAATATTGAACACGATTTTTGAACATAGTACCTGAATTTGGGGAAGGGAGAACATTTCATTTGTGTTTATCTGGTACGGTTGAATAATATCAAAGCTTAAAGTCTTCGGCACAAGTTTGTAATCCAGGTCTTCATAACTGGATTTCACTTGTGGTGTTAAGTAAATTGTGAATCACTTACCTGCCCACAAGATAGAAAACTCCCAGTTACTGGTCAGGGAATACTAAGTATTGGCAAAACACTGTTCAACTCTGAAGTTAGAAAGGCAGAATTATTATATGTAGACTTATGTGCTCCAGTCTATGTAAACACAAGTCTGTTTCTCAAGTACAGCCATTGAGACCATTTCCTACAGTCAGAGGCTCAACATCTGGTTTGCTAACCGATTGCAAGAATAGTTTAATTGAATGAGTGCTGTTACTGTATCCCTTTCCATGAGCCATTAATAAATCTGCCTGGCCTAGAATCATATCAGTTTGTATTGTTCAGCACTTCAAACAATCAAAAGCCTTGTGTAGAGCCCGGAGTTTCTGAGTTCCGTCCATAAAGTCAAACTATAATTTTATGCTTCAGGATATTCAGATATTTCCCTCCAAGTCTTCTCTCTGCCCGTCCCCAGGAAAACACCAAAACACGGAAAATATAAATCAGAAATAAAACAAAATCCGGACCATTTCGGGGGAGAGTCGAGTCTTGAGTTCTGGATTAATTCCCACCAACAGCAGCAACAACTATTTATAGAGTGCTATTCACACGGGGCAACATCCCGGAGCGTTTAAACCTACCCAAAGCTGGAGAAAATGGAAAGCTTCATTACTTTAAAAGGGGGTGGGGGGTGGGTGGGGGGGGGGAAGAGGCCTAATAAAGGAAATGATATAAGGTCAAGTTTAATCCAGATTTTTTTTTCAGCCTTCTTAGAAAGTTCCACATTAGCTTGATTTATTTCAGGAAGTGGCAGTTATAAATAGGAATTTATAAATTAAAACAAGCGGAAGCCTCTATTTTCCATTTGTGGGAGGTTCAGATCCTTGAGCTCTTTTCAGATTCTTTAATTAATAATACTTTCTACACAACCTCGGTGTGAAATTAGATTTTTGTGTGTGTGTGTGTGTGTGTGTTGAGGGGATGGGCGGGCGGGCAGCGTGAGATTGACGAGGTGAATGAATTACGTGTGAAAATAGTCTTCAAGCCTGTGCAGCCAATTTAGGACTGTTAACATACCGCCCACAAAACACACAGTCGATCCACTTTACAGTATCTTCTGTGAAGCGCTTTGAGACGTCTCAACGATGTGGTATGGCGCTGTGTCAAATGCAAGGATTATTATCATTAACTGGAAAAGATTATCAAAAAAAAAAGTCCAGGTGGATACAAGTAAAGAAAAGGTAAAAGACAAAAATATGTCTGAAGTATGAAGAGTTTTGGGGTAGTCGGGGAGGGATGGTGGGGGGGGAGAATCGAGCTCGACTGTGATGACCCACTACAGTTGAACAACTCCTGTATGGACCCCCCTCCCCAAATTGAGCCCTCAGTAGTTCATTCATACACTGCGAGATGTTAAATCTGCTGCCAGTTTCCTGGTCTGTCTGTACTTTTGAATGCATTCCTCATTACCCTGGAGCGTGTAGAGTCCTGCTACCTCTGCGGAGGCTTGCTTCACGCCGCTTGGAATGTGCACAGAAATGGAAAATAGCTTTAGCTTTCTTCCAAAGGGTGAAAGAACATTTATGCGAAACCGTACCTTGAGGGAGGGAGGTGCTGCTGCTGCGACCAAACCTTAAATTGTAGGATTGTTTTCTGTATCCGCTATTCCCACAGCTTCGGGAGAAATAAAAGGCTGGAACGAGTCTGCTTCCTGTCTGCGAAAGGGGTGGGGGGGGCGGGGGGGGGGAAATATTTTTGTGGCCTTTACTGAAAATGAGGGCTGTGTTCGTAGTAACATGCCATTATTTGTTGTTGGCTAACCACACTGGTGCTTATTGAATAGAGAATTAATGTTGTGCTTTCACTAGGTAACCCGCAGTGACTAACTCAGTTGTTCCCTTCCTTCCCCGCCCCCACCCCCCGAAAAAAAAAGTTTTCCCTTTATGTGCCTCTCCTGGACATGCTAACTCACACTGTGGGTTACAGTGCCACAATCCCAAGTGTATCCTTTTGCTTGAGCTGAGCAAATGGAGCTGTCGCTAACACCAGCTTACTGTAGACCCCCACCCCACCCTCCCCCTTTTCCCCCAAAATGTGTGTCGGCAGGAGTTATTCAACTGCGGGGTGGAGGGCATTCACAGTTGAATGGGGCCATCATGGCCAATCCTGATACACTTTTCCCCGTCTCTCCTCTCTCCTCCGTATTCCCCCCCCCCCTCCCCACTCACACATATGCACAACAACACTCTCTTTCTAACTCCATTCACTTGGTAGTGATCAGGGCAGAGCTCTTGGCTGATGTTTTGCCACCGGCTGCAATCAGCTCACTGCCTTTATCAAGATAGTGACCCGGTGCTGGTCCGACTTTGTAGCTGAGTTTGACATTGGCCAATTGTTTGTCCTTCAAGTTTGTTCCCAAATGTTCCGTACTGTGCCTGTTTGTGGGACATTGCTGTGCGCCAATGGGCTGCCACGTTTGCTTACAAAATGCACACTGAGACGTCCTCCTGATGCACCAGGATTACAACAACAACAAGATTACATTTGTATAGCGCCTTTCACGTCGGGAGGACATCCCAAGGCGTTGGGACAGTGTACAGCATTTCAGCCCCAAGCTGGGGTCAGGAGGGAAAGGGGGTGGCCGATGGCATGGTCGAAGAGGAGGGTCTTGAGGCGGGACTTGAAGGAAGCTAAGGAGGGGGTGAGGAGGAGTGACTGGGAGATGGAATTCCAGAGGTTGGGGGCAGAGTGGCTGAAGGCTCTCCCGCCAATGGTGGGGCGGGTGGGTCGGAGGGCGTGGAGCAGCCAGAGCCGGCTGAGTGGAGGGAACAGGCGGGTTGGTAGGGGGTTAGGAGGTCGTAGAGGTAGGGTGGGGCGAGGCCATGGAGGGCTTTGTAGGTGAGGACCAGGATCTTGAACTGGATCCTCCAAAGGATAGGGAGCTAATGGAGTCAAGCGAGAGTGGGGGAGATGGGGGTCACATAGTTGGACTATTCAGGTGTATTGTTAGAATAAGGTTCCTGGTTGATTCAAATCCGTTTTGTTTGGGTGGTGTCAGGTGAAGTAGGAGGAAGATTTGTTTGCTTGGGGATTGTATTAAAGGTGTACGTGTGCTCGTTTGACACAGGTCCTCCATACTGGACTCAACCGACCAAGATGGAAAAGAGGTTGCACGCTGTGCCAGCAGCCAACACCGTCAAGTTCCGTTGTCCCTCTGGAGGCAACCCGAAACCAACCATGCGATGGTTAAAAAATGGCCGGGAGTTTAAGCCGGAATATCGAATGGGTTCGTACAAGGTGAGGAATTGAATTCGTTGATTGTACCGTAACAACTGCCGATTAACTTGACGCACCCACCCAACACGCACACTACACACACAGCACGTACGCACTCACACGCCACACTCACCTCACGCACAGCTCTCGCCCGTTTCATTAGAGCAGGCACTTGCAATTGTGTCCGGCCCACATCGTTTGCTCTCGTCTGCCTCTGCTCCTTCCTGACTCTGCTTCTCAGGTGGTGGCTCTGACTGGTTCCACGGCTGTGGTTTGCAGCCCTCTGCTACCTCGCTCGAGCATACACTCCACATGTGTAAACCAGGCCCCGTCGTTCTTGTCCTTTTTGCGCGTGTGCACAGTAAACGGGAAGTGACATCATTGGTGACCTGATGAGCAGGATGTCGACCATTTTTAGCACGGTGTGCAGTGACGTCATTGATCGGCGACCACTAAATTGAGGGGTTAGAATCTAAGGCCACTCTTCTTCCCCTCCCCCACCGAACGACATCATCATAACAGGGCACTTTAATTGCCATAGTTCTCTTATGCAGGATGGAGTCTGTCACTCAACAGCCACCTCTATGTTAGCTGCAAATCAAATGAGCACGAGATGTCCATCTACATGTCAGACAACCACAGAAGCTGTTTAGTCTGGTCTGTAGAATTTCAGATTGCTCTGTTTCGTTAAGAAGAGAACTGCGGAGTGAACCGTTCCTTGCACAAACCTTCGCGTGCGAAGGGTATTTGGTTTTAAAAGCCTCTTGCGTCTGAATCTTGAATTGGGATTTGGTATCTAAAACTCGCGTGTGGTGAATTGTTCCAAGATTTTCTTTTTTTTTTAAAGAAAAAAATAGGAGCCTTTGGGATTGCTGGGGATATCACAGGGTAATTGTGTCCGTTTGGGCTCCGTCGATCAACACTTTCAAAATTGTTTTCACATAATGAGAAGCTGACGGAACGGACCTCACACTATGAATGAGACATTGTGTAGAAAACACAAGTTTGGCCTTTTCTGCTCCTACTTATTTCCTCACCCTGAAGTTTATAAACAAAGGATGAAATGATGAGGGAGAGGGGAGTGGGGATGAAAAGCAGTCGCTTCTGTTGTCGTAGGGTCTTTGACTTTAACTTAGGATCAATGTAGGATTGAGATCAATTTGTTGGGGTTTGAACTATTTCACCAAACTGAGCAAAATTCTGCATGAAAATAACTTAGCTATATTCCTACGTCTTCTCATTTATTCCCTGTTGGCTTCCTACAAGCCAGGGCTGTGTTAAAGAAGTACAGTCTCATTCCCCTTGGAGAGAGGGTGGACCCGCTTGGTACAGTTGGCTTTTACCGGGAAGTAATTGGGTTCATCAGTCCCCGCGCCCCCCCCCCCCAGCTTGTGTATCTGTCCACACACATATACACACACAGCATTACTCTAACATGAGGCACTCTTACCCGACAATCCAGTACAGAGCTGACGTACTATTTGTATGGTGTCGGGTTCATGGTGCTCTGGGACTTGACCTCCCAGCCATCTGGCTGTGAAGCCAATGCTGTCACTGTGAGGTTACCAGGCTGCCTCAGAGAAATACTTTGGCCCCGCTATGCTCATGTATTTTCTTCGTACAGCACACTTATTAAAGTGAGCATCAGGGAACAATGCCTGCGAATAGCAGTCGAGAGGGAATTGAACTCAAATGGAAGAGTCAGTGGTCTCGTGCTACAGCAAGCCAAACCTGTGAAAAACATGAGGGTTTTTTTTATAAAGGAAAACTTTTAATGCAGGATAGACGGCATTCGATTGAAAAGTGTTTGTTTATTAAGGTTTACAATAGTCGCCCGTTCTAGAGATTAAGACAATGGAATTTCTGTTGGAAGGATTCCCTTGTGACATTCTTCGCGGTTCAATCTTGCTCCGCATCAGTTGGTGTATGTCAAACGATCTCCCATGTAGGATTTTGAGCTTTAAAAGTTAATGCAACATGAACGACTGAATGCTGAGCCAAGATTGAGGGTGTAAGATTAATCTTTATAAATGTATACATAAATAGATATATTACATACATATCAGAAAGTAAGTACAGTACATCGTTCACTTCACTGTTTTACAGACAAATTTTCCATGGTGATGGTCTCACATTTGTGTTTTACTTGTGTTGGTAAAATCCCTGAATCTTTAGGTTTAACAAGTACATTTGGTGTCCCATGGTGGCCATTCAATCGAAATGGAATATACGGGAGTGCAGTGAGTCAAACCTTGATATACCCCTGTCTATTCCCTGTGGTCAAGCAGTCAATCTATTGTTTTGTTTCCACTCACAGATTCGGCCTCAGCATTGGAGTCTGGTTATGGAAAGTGCAGTTCCGTCTGATAAGGGGAATTACACGTGTGTGATCGAAAATATCTACGGATCCATAAACCATACGTACCACCTTGACGTAGTCGGTAAGTGGCATTGAATGAACACACACCGAACGTATAAATGTTCACCTGTTTGGTTGCGAAACACATTGGGGAAGAGGGGGCAGGGCTCTAAACTTGTAGTGGAAATGGTAAAAGTCCTCGAGGTATCGAATCTTTGGGTTCCAGTAAAGCCGCAATCCTTTTAGAACCATGGAACCATAGAAATGTACAGCACAGGAGAAGGCCATTCAGCCCATCATGTCTGTGCTGGCTCTTGTAAAGGAGCAATCCTTTCAGTCCGATTTACTTGCCTATTCCCACACCCCACGTTCTCTCGCTGTTTTTGATTGCTGGAGACAAATGTGAGACTTGATGTCGGAGGGCAGGGTTACCTATGCACATCAGGATGATTTGTGTTCCATACTTAATCTAGGTCGTAAAATTAGACTCCATTATTGTATCTGAATGAATCACTCACTTGAAAGCATTTTTAAAGCTGCCAAGTCAGACTGTGCAGGAGTTAAGTGCTCTTTACCTGTGTGCAGCAAACCAATAAAACTCTAGGATTGTCACCTGCATCAAATACGTACTTTATAGCAGTTGGATTACTTCTGCAATGTTTGTCATTCGCTGAAAAACTTGGTTTCGAAACCTTTCTAAGGGGACTGGGGAGGGAATAAGCGACTGAACACTAAATACCATTTGATCTGTATTCGTCCAAAGAAAACACACTCACGCAAGAGCTCAGACTTGTTATGTTCCGTCATTCAGCTAGTTGCCATGTTCTCAGCTGTGTTTTCCTCGTGCATGGTTCATTTATAAAAGGAATGATGTGACAGAAAAGGTGATGTGGTGCGGTGAGGTAGAGACCTTGTGCAGGAAGAGGGTAAAGGGGTTGGTTTAATGCTAGAGGTTACTCGAGTATTGAACAAGAACTGACTGTATGAGGCAGCCCATAGAGCAGGGTCACAGAATTGACATCCGATTAGCTTCTCGTCTTCTCTTCGCCCCCCACCCCCAAAAAAAAACCAACCAGAGTGTCTGGTTTTGGTATCAAGCTCTGGTACTGTTGAGCACTGCGAGACGCTACCCCACTTGAAGGCCGCTATGTAAATGCGAGTTGGTGTTGTTTCAAAGCTGTCAGCACTGAGAGTGGTTGTTGTGAGTTTAGCCTCTGGCACATCTGGATACTTCTCATTTGACACTGTAGGGAGTGTTGGAGCCCATTGGTTTTTTTTTGCAATAAAATGATGGCCAGTCAAGATTTACAGGGCCCTTGTAAAAAAATAAATAAAAGGCCCGACCAACCATTTTTTCCTTCTTGTTTTCGAAGTGTAATTCATGCGCTCGACAATTAACATTGAAGACTATTATGCTGCACAATGGGATACGTAAACAAGTACGGTCCTTGCCAGGTAATGACTTCACAAAGTGCACTCGTTCATGGAGAGAAGTTGTAAACATTATGAAACTGAAGTGCAGAATTTCAAAGGCCCTGTGCCTTTTTTTTTCCCGAGCGACCCACAGAGAGCCGAGATACATTCAGAAACTTGTACGGTTGTGTACTTTTATCACGTTAAGAGCTTCTTGAGAAAGCATCGAGCCACATTCGCCGAGTTTTATTGAACATGCGTTACGAGTCGGTAAAAATCCTTACTTTATTAAACAAAATTAAATGTTGCACTGTAGGAGGGGAGGGGATATGGGCTGTTATTTTTTTTTGTCCTTCCAAAAAAAACTGCTGAGGATTTACAACTGGAATTAAAAGGTGGAATTATTGTACTTCAAAGTACTAACTTTTCCTCAAATCGTATTGTGCCGCAAATATTTATACTCGTTCAAGATTCTCCAAGGCAGAAAATATTGCCAGTCAGCTATAAATCTATCTGGAGTCAATGATGTGTTTGAGATTAAGGATTCATCTCTCAGATCCTATTGTGCTTTGTTACTTAAAATACCGAATGAAAGCGATTCAGTCCAAGATTATTTCTCTGCAGTTCAGGAAACGGGTTCAATAGGTTGCACGTGTTCAAAACCCCATTCTGTTGGATACGTATCTCTTTGAACAGAAAATAAGAGGCAAGTGTGTGACATTTTAGAAGTTTTGAGAATCAGCGTGGCAGGCACTAGAGTTAACATGGCAGTTGGTGAGTTACTAATACCCTGGTCTAAGTGTTAATTGGATCTGTACAGTTTTGTTTCCACCTGACTGACTGCTGAACACTTGCCAGTTGAGTATTACTACAGAACAGGGTGTTGGCATTCACAATGAGTGCACACCCATCACTCATGCGTCAGACAAAACAGCCCATGTGTTACAACATTGCTGTCTTTGCAGTGGACTTTATTTGTTTTGCGACGTGGCACTTTTCATCTCTTCACCCCACCCCTACACACACACACACACACACACAGATCCTCGCACCTTGTGATTTGAGATGAATCTCGAATTAGCTTGTTGAGTGGTTAAGACTTCTCCAACTGACCGACAGCAGCTCAGAAATGTAAGCGAGATATAGGCGCTCTGAATTTTATTTAACATTTCTAGTACTCGGGGCACACACTACAGAATCGGCGCTTCATTCATAATAATTAAGTCAGGATTCCCCTTACCATAAAGAATGTTTGGATGACAAAACTGGAAACACTTGCTTGATCAGGGCAGCTGCTATGCCTATACATCAGCCTAATGAAGCTTGGCCCACCACTTTTTAATCGATAATGTAAGCCATAAATTAGTTTAATGTGCAAGTCTTTAGGGTATGATCAATGCCCATTGTTTACCAGCGTAAGGGAAGCTAGTAGACTAGACTAAGAGCGAGGAGGTGATTTCAATTGCCAACCAGAAGGTTACAAACACTCCTGTCTTTCAGTCTTTGGTTCAGCTTCAGGAGAACACACACGCACACACACACACAATGATAGGGAGACAGATGAAGAGGACCCAACGTAGAGTGACTCCAAGACGTACAACTTGTGTTACATACTCACGCAGAGGCACTGGAGAATTCTGGTATCGTTGGTTAGCGATTGGCAGAGAAAGGGAACAAGTCCAGTGAGAATTAAAATTAGAGAGAGCTGTAGAGATTTGTTATGAGCCTTGTATCTCTCCGCCCCCCACCCCCCTCCCCCCCCCCCCCCCCCCAGGCTATTTTGGCTGCTTGTCATTTTTGATTTATTGTCCACTGTTCGAATAATTATTAGAATTCCAAATTCAGAGTTGTCTTTGGCAGCAAATCAAGTGCTGATCAAAATCTCGAACGGATGACGTAGCTTGATTCTTCGTACACTCTTATCGGGTTTGAACTTGTTGCCTGCCAGTTCCAGGGGTGGGAGTGTGGTGGTGGGGAGGGTGAGGGCAGACAAAGGTTGAGTTGAGCAAAAGTAAATGGCATTCTTGTTTATTCCGCGAACCTTGCGTTTTTACAACCCGTAACGTTTTTGGTGATTTTTAGCCCGAGACTCCGGCACGATTTCAGCCGTGCGGTGCGGTTAAGCTGAGGATTGTAACCCCTGTGTCGGGAGTGAACTCGGCAGTTTCATGAGATCACTTGACCCAATGTGCATTCGCCCAGAAGTCACTCACTGGGTCTCGCTGGAAATAAAAACATTGAATGTAGCTGGATTCAAAAGCAAAAGTTCTCCAGAGTTCAGCCAAATGAAACGTAAGGATTGCGTGTCCCTACTTATTAATACATTTTTCACCCAGTGAATGTCGTAACTTAACCCTTTAATGATTTGCAAACTGATACTTCGTTTAGCTCTCGGGCCTGAACGGCATTAGCAAGATGCTGTATTTCTGGCTCTCCGGGGAGCAGTAAATTAATTGTTCGCATCTGTTTTGCAAGCAGAAACTTGACAATCTTAGCCGTTGTGACAGTTTTCAAAAACAAAAGCTGTCAAGCTGCTGCGTGTGTGCGGGTTTGTGTGGGAAAAAAAGTATACCAACAATCAATGGTAGGGACTCCATGATGTCTGGAGGTTCCCTCCCCTCACTCTGACCATTTCCCCCCAATGCTCGGGTCCTGACCCAACTGTCCAGCGCCTTGGGACGTCCTCCCGACGTGAAAGGCGCTCTATAAATGAAATCTTGTTGTTGTTGTTCTTGAAAGAGCATTGCCTTCCAAACTGATCACACTCGTGTTTAAACGCATTTGGAGTCGACCGCCAAGGATCCTGTCCCAAAGACAATGGCCACACCTTGAATTGAATGAGTCTCTTGATGCTCCTCAATGGGCGGTTCATTAAGATCAAACGCCTTTAACGAGGTGTGGGCAGACATTCAAAATGGTTTAACTTGTGAGCTTCTGGTCCAGAAAGAGGTGAGGTCAGATCGAGGGAGAAACCAAGAGAGCAGACCTTGTTTCTTGTACATCAGAGAAAAAGAAAAATCCTCCATTTTTCTCTTGTGTTAATTCTTTCACGCAACACTTAAAACCCCGTGAGGGTGTGATCTGTACCTGTGCTATTGGTGTTTGAGATTAAAAGCTTTTTATTGATTGGAAAATGAACTGGTGGGATCGTGGAGATATTTCCGTCCTTATTTTGAAGAGCGATTCCTGGTGTTTTATTGTTGGCCAGGGATTGTTTGAGCCCAATTGTTTATACAGCGCATGTCCCAGAATGAGCTCACAAGGATCAAAGGCAGGGTGTAGCTGAAATTAGTGTGTTTTTTTGGGCAGCTGGGTGTCTTGACACATGCTTAGGAGTATCCCAACCAAACTGAGAATTCAGTTGAAATCTGTGACTGCGTTGCACCATTTAGAATTGAAACCAACTTCCCTAACACTCAGAGATGCTTCATCTAGTAGCTTAGGCAATAGGATACAAAGCAGGCAAACTGTTTCGCGGGGATGGATGGCTGAGCTTGAAACATCAATGAGTCCAACACTCTTGTCATTGGAACCACTTAGCTTGGCTGCAGTGCTGTGAATGAAGACTTTGTAACATGGATAGACTACATCAGGCCATGTTGTTGCACAGGAGTGACAGCGACTTGTAAAATAGCCAGCGTTCTGTCTTGAGGAGGATGACTGTAAATT